AGATCAACACACATGCTCCGAGTGTCATGCCTGTAATACGTGTGGATTTTAACTAAACGCCCACAAATAATAGTGGTGTTTCCACTCATTCACCACCAGCAGTATCTACCTGCAGTTGTCATCTTTGGGAAACTGACATGCACTACTTGGAGGTTTTAAAGTGGACATTTTAGAAGTGGAAGATCAGGACCCTGAGTCACTTTTCATTGCCCTAACTAACGAATTAAGAAATTTCCACTGTGACACCCCCAGAGCATCAGTCTACATCAGCACAGCAGCAACACACTGGATTCATATGCATCTTCTCAGAACATCTAGATTTTTAAATGTATTTTAAAGCAGAGTTTTAAGCTGGTGAGTGGCCCCTGCTCGTTCATGAGTTCTAAGCAACAGGACAGTCTGTGATTGATCACAGATGTTTAGAAAGAGATGAAACTGCAGAGCTCCCCACATGAAAGCTATGCAGACACCGCTCATGATCTATTCACAAAATGAACTGGATCTTTAACCTGCTGTTTCCTTAACAGAGCGAGCAAGAGTATTGATCACTCAGTGTAATTTGAAGTGGACGGACTTCTCCACTCTGGCTGTAAAGCAGGTGGCAGACAGCGTGCTGTCTCTCCTGGACCAAAACCCGCAGGCAGGCAGCCCGCTTACCACCACTGAAGCTGAGCGCACACCGGGCAGGCCTTCCACAAGGGGCCCAACTGCTGTCTGCTTGGAGGAAGGGAGCAGGGCTGCCTGCCTAGTGTTAGCATTTTCTTAAGGATTTATTTGATAAAGGAAAATTACTCAAGTTTGAGGGGGGGAAAAACCTTTTTAAAAAAATGACCAATAACCAGACAAATTAGAAAGGCATCAGTAAGCTCTCACATCAGGCACTTTGTTGGGGGACACGCAAGGCCACTTGACTGCTCCACCCACTATAAATCATGCAGCTCCGTCACAATGACATTCTCGTATTTTTGGGGACATATTTTCAAGCAGGTCCAACTGGCTTGGGTCTCCACTGCTATCTCCTTGAAACAAGGGGTGGAAGTCTACCATCCTCAGAACTGAACTGAACATCAAGTCTCATGCTGGCACAAGTTCAAATTCCTATTTTACTGATGGATTTGAAACAGGAGTCTTCTTTCAAACATTCAAACTGTCAGATCAGGCTCAGGGAAGGCTCGTCCTGATCCGAAGCTCTCCGGGACCCTTTCCTCTCACACTCCATTCCTGAACAGCCTGAGTCTCCTCAGCCTCTTGCTTTAACTCACATGTCCCCTGAGCACCTATCACCAATTGGCAAGCCCGCACCAGACCCTGTGGGTGGAAAGATGGATAAGAGCAAGTCCTTGGATTGGAGGAGCCCCATGCTTGCTGGGAAGGCTAGAGCTGCATGGAGGGGTTCCAGGTGAGTGATGCCACAGAGGCACTGAGTGTCACTAAAACTCCAAAGACATCTTTGGAGGGGGTGAGGCTCAAACTGAGTCCATGGTCTCCATGAGGAAAGAGTACTACTGGAGCACAAAAGATGAGTGAGCAATGTTTATTTGGAATGATCAAATGTTAATTTGGGGTGGTGGAAATACAGTGTTTGTTATATTATCCTGGGGACTTTTTAAAATTTTACTTTGAAAAGAAAGAAAGGAAAGTTGTGCCCAAGAATGTTGTAGCCGAGATTACTGTGCATAACGGCCCAGCTCCCAGACAAGGTGGCAACTAGCTTCATCACAAAGGCTGTGGGGTGGGCACTAGGGTCACACAGCCATGGAGCAGTCAAGCAAATTGTGCAGGCTGCTCCAACAGGGTTTCAAACAAATCAGACCGTGAGTTAAATAGACATTTCAATAAAAACACAACCCGAAACTGGCTATAAGTGGCCTTCACTAGGCTCAATGTTAAAGGCAGTGATCACTTGACCCTAATTACAGGGGTGGGGTGGGGGTGAGGGTGGCAATAACAGTGAGCTCAGACATTCAGGGGTGAATGCACAATGTGCAGATGGATACTCCCCAATTATTTTTTTTTCCTTTTGTAGGACCTCTTC